AGGAGGCATGAATATTTTCTTGCATCTTCTTGCATCCTCTTTGTGGGATTCATCAATACCATGTTTGTAACTATGTGTGTGTGTCGTTTTGGATTACAGAGTCGCTGGGGTGTTACGATTTTTTAATTTTTTAAAAAAATTTTTGGGGGGGGTGTTTTAAAATTTTTACTTTCCTCTGTTTAGATTTATTTTTGAACCCTTTATTTTTATTTTATGTAATTCATTTAGGTTCTTTTTAATCTATTTATTTGTTATTGTTATGGTAGAGGGAGTGTCGTTTCTTTCCAAGCCATTTTTGTCGCTCAAATATTATTTGTTCTGTGTTTTACGCCCCCATCGATGCAATGAAGACCAAGTATTTAAGCGATTGTTTTGATTCTTGCACAGCTTGTACGTCAGGGTCTATTAGTCTATTCAGACTGACAAGACACACCTTCTCAGTCTTAGCTCACTGTACTGAGAGAGATTATCGTACTCGACAAAAACTAATCTCACTCCGGAATCAAACTCAGGCCTTCTGCGTGCGACAGGATAGCCTATCAGCTACGCAACAGTAAGTTGCTGGTGACGATTGACGAGACAGGGATATTCGGACTTTCCTTTTGTTTGTCTGTTTGTTTTGTTGGGGGGGGGGGGGTGAGTCTTCTTCATCAGTATTAGAATCAATCCCAGATGAACGTACTGTTTTCATACCTATGTCAACTTGTTATTTCATATTGCTTTGCTTTATTACAGATAACAACACTGAAGATTGCAAGTAATCCATTTGCGAAGGGATTCAGGGAATCTGGCAAAGCAAGGTACGTCTTCGGAGACAGGTCTACTGTGTATTCTTATAGCAGATTTTCTTGATGCTTGAACTCTATGCTATTGTCATTTTTTGTTTGTCAGACTCTTTTCCATGGCTTAGTGGACGAACAAAATTCTGACAGATTTTTAATTTAATTAACGTTGCTCTCTCTCTCTCTCTCTCTCTCTCTCTCTCTCTCTCTCTCTCTCTCTCTCTCTCTCTCTCTCTCGCTCTCGCTCTCTCTCTCTCCCCCTCTCTCTCTCTCTCTTTCTCTCTCCCTCTCTCTTTCTCTCTCTCTCCCTCTCTCTCACTTTCTCTCTCTTTCTCTCTCTCTCTCACTTTCTCTCTCTTTCTCTCTCTCTCTCTCTGTCTCTCTCTCTCTCTCGTTTTCTCTTTCTTCCCATCCACCCTCACCTCACATTTGCAGTCTTGAGCAGTATGAACAGTAGGTCTTTGCTTAATTTACATTTAGTGTGATGTATAATATCATCATAAAAATACATCCCAGTCTAATAATAGATGTTTTTCCTTCTACAGGATTCCTTACGACGCTTTTATGGCTCCCTATCCCAAGTTTTTGTACGGAAATGTTGGGCTGACCTACTTCCAGGCTCCCCTAAAGCCCCCCATTGACCTGAGATATCTGTCTGAAGAAAAAGAAATACAGCTGTCAACTTCTGGCAAACGACTTGCTTACAGTGACGAGGAGGATGCAACAGAGCTTGGTAAGATAGCAGCAATCGTTTGGAACATTACGATACCATACAATAAAATAAATATATGCTAATGCCATTTATCAAGTAGAGAAGAAACATAAAATTGATATCAATATGCAGTACTTCAAATGGCAAAAAAAAAAGGAATTAGATAATCAGTATTATACTGCAAAAGGATGGGACACATTTTCGCGAAGGCTCGAGGGAGGGGGTGTTAGAATAATGGTGTGGGGGTGGAAATGAGTGTGTGTGTGTGTGTGTGTGTGTGTGTGTGTGTGTGTGTGTGTGTGTGTATGTGTGTGTGTGTGTGTAATGTGAGTGAGTGTGAGTGAGTCTGTGTGTGAGTGTGTGGAGAGAGTGAAAGAGAGAGAAAGAGAGAGACAGAGAGTGACGTGTATATGTGAGAGTGAATGTGCTTGAATGTTCCCGCGGGGCTGTGGCCCCCGCCGCCCCCCCCACAGCGAGTACAAAGAACGTCGCCCTCGTTG